TGCCAAGCTGCTCCTGTTTCTGAAAGAGCTGGAGCTGCAAACCCCCCCACTCCCCCCCACCTGACAACGCCATAAGCAAAACCGGGTGTCCCATCATGTGTCCTGTGACAGCACCTGGCAAAAGTGAGGCTATTCATCTCATAATGGGGTTGGTGTTGCAATGGACGAGGACATTGGTCTAGTTTTAGATAGAAGGTACCTAATCAGTAACTATTGTAAAATGTGTGCTTTTGGGCCAAAACCAGGTTCACCTGAATTTGTAACCTGGATGGAAGCACACAAAGCCAAATGTCAAACGAATGCAGATTGCTCTTCTAATGCAATGGAGACTGGCAGCCAGGACGATATTTTCAAGATCACACGGAAAGAGACATTTAAGTTATTGGTACAATGCTTCCAGGTCGATGTTGTTGCTTTCACAGAGATCACTTGAAGGCCCCTATCACTGTCAGACTTCAGAGCTGCTCTTATGATGAACGTGCAAGAGGAATCATGATATGTCAGGACAATGTACAGTCAACATTTAAGTTATGGTACAATGCTTCCAGGTGATGTTGCTTTCACAGAGATCACTTGAAGGCCCCTATCACTGTCAGACTTCAGAGCTGCTCTTATGATGAACGTGCAAGAGGAATCATGATATGTCAGGACAATGTACAGTCAACATTAAGTTATGGTACAATGCTTCCAGGTCGATGTTGCTTTCACAGAGATCACTTGAAGGCCTTTATCACTGTCAGACTTCAGAGCTGCTCTTATGATGAACGTGCAAGAGGAATCATGATATGTCAGGACAATGTACAGTCAACATTTAAGTTATGGTACAATGCTTCCAGGTCTATGTTGTTGCTTTCACAGAGATCACTTGAAGGCCCCTATCACTGTCAGACTTCAGAGCTGCTCTTATGATGAACGTGCAAGAGGAATCATGATATGTCAGGACAATGTACAGTCAACATTAAGTTATGGTACAATGCTTCCAGGTCGATGTTGCTTTCACAGAGATCACTTGAAGGCCTCTATCACTGTCAGACTTCAGAGCTGCTCCTATGATGAACGTGCAAGAGGAATCATGATATGTCGTACAATGTACTGTAAAATTTTAACTTCAGATAATACCTTTCTATCCCATTTACTTTTCATCAACCATGTGACTTTTAAACATTTTAAATTAAATGCTTGATTTATTACACTGGGGTTTAATCTTGAGGTAACTAACCATTATTGGGGGTGTTGGACATTTATTCCCAGCGGATCATCAGCCCAAAAGGCCTTTTCAAGAGCCTACTGACATAAAAAGATGTAGGTGGATAAGGCACACTTTCCAGGTAACATCACCAGACATTCCTTAAAAAGCTTCAACTTGCTGCCCTAAAACTGCTTTTTTCAATGGCAGCAGGCAACATCACTTGCCACTTTATCGTTTAATTGTGATCCGGTGGGACTAAAGATGGTCATGGAGAACATTGGATTGAAGTGGGGGCATTTAGGCAAGGATGTTGAAATCCAATTGCAAGTCAGATACAAGTATAAAAAATTTGAAAATGGCATGCCAGTTTCTTCAATTTCTTATTGATGAGGGGTTTTCATATTTAAATAAATGAATTTTGTTCAGAATTTAGTGATTCTGATGATGATTCAGTCCTTGATGGTACTACTATTCTGACTAATGGTAAGACTGGCATGGAATAGTCCCATGCCCTGTCTAGAAAATATGAGCGTCTTTGCTAAATATGTAGGGAGTCTACCTACATACTTTTTTAAGCTCTATGTGATGGGCAAATGTGTAGATGAGTTTGTCATACAAGCTAATTTGTATGCAGAGCAAACCTAAAAAATCCTCAAAGTTATGCCAGAAATGTGCAACGACAGGTAAGAGGATGGAGAAGGAGAGTGAGACCAAGTTTACTGCTTGGATGGAGGGCCATAAAACATTCTGCGATATAAAACACCCAGGGTCTAGTGGCGGCATGGAGCAACAGGCTGCCGTTGCAATGTGGGGTAGGTCAGTTCCGAAACATGCTTTGCATTATCGTACTGTTGTGTCTGATGGTGACACAAACACTATCAAGTCGATTCAAAGTTCCGGGTTAGGGTTAGTAAACCCATGTTTCAAAATGACCTATAACTGCCTTCAGGGCCCTCGTGGAGATGAAGAAAAAGTTAAAGATAACACTTGGTTGTAAGGGTGTTGGGCGCCATACCCAAGACAAGATCAAATGGCTACATATATTTTTTACAAACAGCTTTAGAAGGTCAAACTAAAGTGTGAAAGATATGAAGCGGTCAATGGGCAGGATTTTGGAACTGCACTTTTAACTGATGAAGAACAATGCAATGATGACTGCCCAAATAGTGAGATTTCCTCGTGTTTTTTCAAGAATGCATTTGCTAAAAGTAAAGATTACTTTAGTTAAAAAAAAAGGTTATAAATTGTTTTTTGCCTCAAAACTCACTGACAGGGCAGCACTAAATTAATGTGTAAATCAAGAACTGTCTGCATTTTTATGTACATGCTTTTGGCACAAGGTTGAAAAGAACACGCTGTTAATTTTGATTTAATTTCAGAGCTAGTTACAAAACTGTAAAATATGTTTACCATGGCAACGAGTGGCAGGGTTACTAAATATGCTCGAACACCCCGTCTAACCGCTGAACAGGAAACTATTGTAACAGGCGGTGGGTTCTTAAAGTGATGAGGAAAGTGATATTATTGTTGAAAATAGTTCTAGATCTAGTAGTAATGTTTATGAATTTGAGAAAAATATTACTTACAGCACAAATAGTGATAGTGAAGATGATGCACAACCTGGACCATCTTAAATCCCTAAAAGGCAACAACTATGTTGACAAAGGGTGCAGGTAATAATGTAATAAATCAGGTAAGAGAGCAGTGGGTTGAAGTAACTGAGGGTTGGTGCAACAACAGGGAGTAGTTCCCTTTTCTCCTACACGAGTGCCAAGACTACATGCAACACTAGATGCAACTTCATCTGAACTGGATTGTTGGCTTACCTTGACAACACCAGATGTGTTTGATTCATTGTTGTCAATAGTAAATGAGTATGCAGAAGGTAAGAAATCAAAGCAGGTTCCTTTGCAAAATGTAAATAGTACACTCACTAATTGGATACCCATCACTGAATATGAGCTTTTAAAATTTTTAGCAGCGATTACCGCATTGGGTTTGGATTTTAAAAAACATCAGTAAAAGATTATTAGGCTAACACAACACAACAACTCCCCCATGGTACAATCAAATGTTTCCCAGGAGATTTTAAGTCATTTATCACACTATGATACATGCTGGAGATGCTGAATCTGTTGGGAAGGATAAAGTAGAACCATTCATAAATTCCCTCATTCCTCATTTCCAGGATGCGTTGTATCTATTTGAGAATCTAGCCATTGATGAAATGGTGATGGGATATAGCGGACGCTGGAACCACAAACAGTACAATACCTCCAAGCCAAGCAAGCATCACATCAACACATTGAGTGATTCAACTAAAGGGTTTGTCTACTCTGTACTGACATACTTTGGACAAATCACTTCATTTGAACTTGGCGATGACTGTGCATGTCAAGCAGGCAAGGTGTTTGATTACCTGCTGCGGGAAATTGGAAAAGGCCACCATGTTATTGCTGATAGTGACTACACTGTAATTACTTATCTGTTGATAGGGGAATTAATCACATTGGCACGGTCAACATATACAGAAAAATTTTCCGCTTCAACAAAAGACCATTTCTCTTCAGCAAAGAGAAGCAAAGTTGTACACCAATAGAGATGTGTCCCAGACATGTGTTGCTTGACGAGATCAGAAAGCTAAAAAGCCATGTATTGTTGTATCTACCAAACATTTAGAACAAATGGACCAGGTTACCACTCAGAGGTAACGTTGAAAGGCCAAAACCTGTGAATGAAGATCCTATTATGGCAAGGAAAACAAGAAAGTGGTGGAAATTAACCTTTTATTGGATCCTTGAAGTTTCTAAAGTAAATGCATATCCTTTAGCCCTCTGTCCTGCTGGCAAGAGTCAGTGCCTTTTAAAATATTCAAAGATAATTTGATTAATCAGCTGACAGAAGGCTGCATCAATTGATCAGCTGACAGAAGGCTCGTCAATCATTCCGCTAGAGGCAGTGGCAACTACCACCATCAATAAAGTTGGTAGAAAATTCAAAGAAGGCAATAAAATTGAAAGAAATGAGGGTGCTAACATATTGCTGTGATGTGTGCCAACTGAATTACTGCAAAAACACTTGTTTTCCCCAGCATCTTGGAGGCCAGTGGCTGAGTGTTTGTAAATAGGGTATAAATGATTGACAATCACAAACTATATGTATATTTCGTAAATATGTGTTCATGTGTAGCTAACTGGCAACTTTGGATTATTCATTTGACATGTGAGTAAACATCATAAATCTGCATTCAGTTCCCTTTATTTTGTTATTTCATAAAAATCGTTTTACTAACACATGAGATATGATGTTTTTTCTAACGTAACCCTAAATCTTACTAAAACCTAAAAAATCTTGCCCATTCAGAGCTAGTAAAAGGAAAAACGTCTGCCCTGTAAAGGCTTAACGACGTGTAAGAGGATGAAGGAGGAGAGTGAGACCAAGTTTACTGCTTGGATGGAGGGCCATAAAACATTTTGCCACATAAAACACACAGGGTCCAGTGGCAGGATGGAACAACAGGCTGCTGTTGCACCGTTGATTCACAGTTCCTATCCCGGCTTGGTAGTGGGAAAGCATAAGTGCGTAAACCACTTTTCAAAACAATCTGGAACTGCCTTGAGGACCCTGGTGGATACCAAGAGAAAGCAAAAGATAACACTTGGTGGTTTTGCCTTGGTGGTAAGGGTGTTGGGCGCCTTACCCAGGACGAGATCAAACAGCTACAGAAATATTTTACAAAGGCTGTTAGGTCAAACAAAAGTGTGAAAGCTATGCAGCTGGCAATTTAGGCAGGATTCTGGCAGAGCACTTCACTGATGAAGAACAATGGCATGATGACTGCCCGAATGGTGAGACGTTCTTTTGTTTTTTCAAGAAGACATTAGCTAAAGGTTTAGTTTAGCTTCGTAAAGAACACAAACAGCCCCCACCAACTAGCAAAGGAAAATGCAGCAGTTTCATTTCAGAGAAAATGTTGCATATTTATGATCGTTTAACTTCAGATGTGTTTCTAGCAAGATGCTTGTCTGGGATGACACAAAATGCCAATGAAAGCATCCATGCAAAAAAGGAGAGGCCGGGTGGAAGTGATCCCAATTGGGATTAACTGAAATATAAATACTTAGTGCACTGTTGCAAACAAGGTGTCAACAATCATTTAAATTCTTAAACAGGACAAAGAAAATCATAAGCGCAAGTTACATTAACTTTAAATTTAGTCAGTCAAATTCGAGATAGATAAGCCTTAATAATAATTAGGCACTACAATACCAGAGTCACTGGAAAACTTGTGACAGGGCCCAGGATGACTCATTTTTACAAGAACTCTGAAGGTTTAAAGCATTTGGAGATGGTGGGTATTTTTATTTGTCTACTTCTTCAAGGTGATTTTGTTTAAAAACCAAATGATTATGGCAATGTTTTTTCAATAGATTCCATACATGCGGACATATTTGCATCTGTATTAAACAGACAGTGTGTGGTGTATCTTGTTGTGGAACTGGCTAAACCATCGGCAATTTTTTCTTCTAATTATAATTAATAATAGTACAACAATTTAATTCTTGGTGATTATTATAAGTTATAGCCTACATGTGTGAAACACATTTGAAATATTTATAGTCATATTTAGTTCTTGTTGGGCCTACTAAATTATGTTACCGGTATTATGTTATATGCATTATAGATGTTTTGTTCAATTACATGTCTTCGTTCATGCAACTTTTTGTGACCTACCGGTTGATTTATTTATGATATTGTTTTCTTAAATTTCCAATTTTAATATTTCTCTATTATTTCAGTATCATGCCTCCAACTGAAGAATTCACCATGAGTACTACTCCTAGCTTTAAGCTCAAGAGAAAGTGACAGAAAATTTGAAGAAGCGAGAACTCTCAACTGATGCTTTGTCCCCTGCCAGTTCAACAACCACTCTGTAGCAGATATTCAGGATATCCAACCTGAGTCCCAACAGGGACAGTTATTGTCTGCGTGAGACTTAGTTCTTAGTGAGTAACAACAGATAGTCTTTTTGCGAGGCCATTGTAATGGACTCAATGACATATAAAACGTACAATTCTCACCTCACAGTCATCCACAAGAGAACTATAGTATTTAGTGAACAGGTGAAATCAGAAGTAGTGGATAAAGTTTTTAAGCCGCTAACAACAAAGATGATGTTAATATAACTGTCAGCTTTGATGGCTCTTGGCACAAAAGGGGACATACATCCAAAAAAAGGGCTTGGTGTGTTGATTGAGGCTACCACTGGGTTAGCTGTAGATTTCCATGTGATGGCTACATATTGTCAGGTACTGGTAACAATAATTATTATTTAACAGCTAGCATTTTTTTTTAAATCAGAACAATTAATTGTATCATTTTGCACAACATATAGTTTTTGTAAACTACAGTTGCTAAAGTTATGTGGCTTCGTTCAATGAAACAGGGTTTGAGGTATACAACATTTGTATCTGATGGAGACTGCAAGACCTGCAATGAATTGTAGGCCTTGGCACATTACAGTACTTCTATACAGAAGGGGGAATGCACAAATCATGTGTCAAAGAGGCTTAACACTGGGTGGGCAGTTTTGACACTTGTAGGAATTTTCTAAACATTTTATTTTTATATTGCTAATCATTGCTATAAAAAATTGCTATCGATATTGTAGGCAGGACAGTATCATAACATTTTTAAAACCATGTTCATTTTTGTTATGTGTTTTTGATAATCCACTGGTATGTATTCATATAAAGATATTTACATTTTTTTCACAGGATTAAATTAACCTTCTACAGCGACATTACAAGAAGGCTGTGGCCTTGGCCGGTAAGAGCTCCAGCACCGAAGAACTTCGAAAGAAGATTTTAATGACATTCCAGCATCCTATATATTTGATGAGAACCCGAAGCATCATGACTGCCCCACTGGACAGGCATCATGGTGCTTTTGGCAGAGAGCTATTGCCCACAAACAGTTCCCACCAACTCAGGAAAAAGCAGCAATTTCATATTAGAGACTGTTGTAAAAAAAAGTGAAGCCTATTTATGACAGGCTCACTTCGGCACTTCGGATGTGCTTCTGGCAAAGAACATTGTGAGGCAATTGATTCTTCATCTTTGAATTCACCTCCTCTAAAAAACGTTAAGAACTGACTGTGAGAAATGCCCTTCTATGAGAGAGGCGAGTCACTCAAGTGCAGAAGTTTGGCCTACAGGCTTAGGAACAAACACCAAAGTTAAAGCACTTTCTAAGCACTTCAGCCGTGTATTGAATCAGTCCTTTAAAAGAAAGGCTGAAATAATAAATTGAAGCTAAAAAAGACATCTTTGACAAGAGAATTGAAGTACCAGAACAAGATGAACAAATGTAATGAATGTTCAGCTCGGATCGGCAAAATGGAGTGAGAGAAAAAGAAATGCAATGAGGAAATGCATTTATTTTAAAATTGCCTGTTGAACCAAGTGCCAATTGAAAGAGCTGGGGCTGTTAAAGTATTACGGTGCAGTGAAGGAGTTAACACGAAAAGGTTTTGACAGACATCCCAGGATCTTTGGAGATTAGGATCTTAGGATTAGGTAGCTAGGTAGCTGTCAATTGACATGCACAGTTCAGAAAACTGGGACTCTACATTGATGGGACAACACTATAATGCTTGCCATATCTCTACTGGTGAAGAGGACCTGACCATTGAAGTGCCTAGAGATCCTGGGGGTAAAACAGGACTACCTGCGCCAGCTGGTAAACTCCCTTCAAGATCAAGCCACCTTGTATTCTGTATACAACAAAGAGGATCAGCATGTTGTATTGCATAGCATCCTTCAGTACCACTTTGAGTGAGGTGGCAAAGGTCAACCAATGTGTTTCAATGCAGTTGGGTGATTTGTTGAACAAGTCCAATGTGCACCCCCTGGAAGGGAAGGAATTCCAAAGCTCGTAACAGTGCAAACTTCTGGATTTTAAACGGAGCATAACCTGACTGTCCTTTGGACAAGATGGAAGTGCTGCAAATCTCATCCATGCTATATCTAAACTGAGATAACTTCCATTTTGATCTTTCTACAAATGATTTATTTTTAGTACCTAGACTTAGTTAAATAAACAGTTCTGAAGATGTTCATGTCGCTGTAAGCACATAAAGACAGTTGTATTTTTTACCCCTCCGCAGGCATAAGATGTCATCCGGCATTCCTGGAGAAGAAGAATCTGAAACCCGGAATTATTCCTTGCTACGCTGGAAGCAGACTCCACATTTTGTTTCACCTTGCAGAAGTCATTTTTAAGATGAAAGAGTGGCTTGCGCAGTACCAGTATCTAAAGAAATATTGTGCTACTGCCAAATTTAGAACGGCCCTGCTGAATGACATCTGGTGCAATGAGATTCTTATTCAACTACAAGCCTTAGGTAACCTAGCTATATTTATTTTTTCATGGCAAGGTATAAATAAGATAAATTTTCAATGTGTATGTTGCTTATGCTACATTTCTAACTAGCAGAGATTTGGAGATAGCATTCAACCTTAATGCCGTTTTACAGCATCAGTATCGCCAGCAACCGCAACCACTACTTCATATTTCGATTGGACACGTGATTTTTATCCACAAAGAATGTGCCTATACTGAGAGGTTCACATGCAGGAGACTTATTCTGCACTTTATCAGTCTCTCAGATATCGGTTAAGTTGTTTGATTACTAAGTTTCGTCGCTTGAACCACAACCTGCACCGCCCTCTTAACAAGCAACGGATTCTGGATTTTTTGAGGCAACGCTTTGTTACTGAAAACACCCAAACCAGAGTTGTGACGTTTCATCTATAGGATTTGTATCAGTCTTAAACAGGTAGCTTGAGGCGTATCTTGTTGGGGAGCTGGTTATCAATCAGCAGAATTAATGGCCCTGACCTCATCAGCCCATGTTCATAATATCCACAGTGAGAGGGTTTTGGAGATGGTCGATACCCAATTTAAAAGAGCCCCTAATGCTTCAACTGGTTTTGTTGGTGCCAAAGTTAAAGCTCAGGTCAACAAAACCATGTACTAGTTATTGGATAAACCTATTTTGGATCAAGAGGAGCTCATTAAGTTTGCTGTTAGTGAAGCCAGTAAATCTAGGATGGTGTTACAGGGTTGGGATGAACACATGAAGCCTGTTAGCATAGCTTGTCAGATAGCAGTGGGACAGAAGAGGAACTAGAGAAAGAGGAAACGAAGAAGAAAGTTAGAGCTTTATTAGAATCAAGGGTTTGATGATATCTTATTTAATGATAGATGTCAGAATGTTAAAGTTAAGCTGACCATGCTACTCTGACCGTGGTAGAATGGACTGCCTTCCTATGAGGATTAGGCAACACTTGTGATGTTGATGGGGAAAGAAGGAGTTTATTGGAGATTTAGTTGGCTATGTTAAGAAATCTGGAAAATTGTTTTGTGCATTGGTATTTTCTGACATAGATCATGGAGAAATAACATCGTCACATTTAGTTTCTGATGTTTTTATGGGATAATTTCATTTTGTTTGTGATTTTATGAAATTTATTTGAATTTTCAGTTCACTCATTTTAAATTTAACTTTTAATATTTTGTATACTTTTGGTAGACAACATTGTCACATTATGTTTCTGATGTTCTTAGAGATTTTCATTTAGTTTAATTGTGTTTTAATGACATTTATTTGAATTTTCAGTTCACTCATTTTAATCCATTCACTCCGTAACAGCCATATCCAGCCACTACTGCTTCAATCCTGTAACGCCCAAACCCGTCCACAAAATATACTACTTAGGCGTTGCTCTACTGCACTGGGCGACTCAAAATGCAAATGAAGCTTTCCATAATTTAATTTGGTACCGCTGTCCGAAGACCTCATTTGTTGAGAGAAAGAGGCTAGAAATAGCTGTAGATGATGCCACCATAGTCTATAACAATGGTTAAAAGGGGCGACATATTTAAAAATTTAGGTTTAAATTTTGGAAATTATAGTTTGCAGGCATTTTATAAAATCAATAAAAAGCATGTATCATCCTAGCTTATTCAAAATTTAGATGAAAGTAAAGCTAAAAGGGG